CCTCCTCCCCAGCCCCTGGGATGCGGCCCAGCCACGCTTGCCGGCCCCGGGAGTGAACACCTGTCCGCCTCTCCCCAGACGCCGGCTGGACCCTCCTGCGAGCTCCGCCCCCTCCCCTGCCCGTCGCTGCGGGATCCCGCCTGGACGGTCCCCGCAGGAGGGAGGACCCCCAGGCAGGGGTGCTGGACCGCCCCAGGCCCCATCCACAGAGGGCGCCAAGGTCAGCAGAGCCGGTGTCCGTGTGGGTGTGGGCCGCAGGCAGGCCGAGGTAGGCAGGAGGCAGGGATGGGGAGCAGAGGGGTCAGGCAGGCCGTGACAGTGGTAACCAGCAGGCCCGGGCCTCTCTGAGTCCAGGGCTGTCAGCTCATAACCCTTCCGTGCCCTGGCCCAGACAAGCCTTCCTTCAGGATGTGGGGTCCCGGAAGGGACTGCTGCCCAGGCACACGGCGTGGCCACCCTGACTGAGCAGCGCAGCAGGTGCGCTCACGGCGGGGGCAGGACACAAGTGACCAGCAGCATGTATTTATTGGTAAGAAGACACACCCATGGCTGTATTTGTACAATCCAGAATTTGGGTCCAAACAGGCTGGTGGCAGACACATGCTGGGGGCTCATGTGCTAAACCGTTTTCCTTTTTTGGGGAGGGGGGAAGGTAAAGGAAAGTAGGGCTGAAAAGAATGTTTTTTAATTGACATTTCTGTATGCCTCATTTTTGTATTTACATTACATGACGGACCACCCCATCCACCTGCGCCAGCGAGGCGAGGAGGAGGAACAGGTTCAGTGAAGGAGACACAGGAACCAGGGCTTCAGAGGGCTCTGCAGGAGGCAGCCAGGCAGCTCAGTAGAAGCAGACCGTGTGCAGGAAGGCTCGGCCACTCTTCTCCTCGAACTCCTGCAGCAGCTCATCGATCTCGTTCTCCATATCCTCCGTGTGCTGGATCTGAAATAACACAGGGTCCTGAGCCATTGAGTGTCCCCCACCCAATCCTGCCCCATGTGAGGCTTGCCCCTTGCACGCATAGAACTGGGGTGCAGGGCAAGGCCTCTAGGACAT